CTCTGCCAGCAGCCACCCACTGAGGCGGATTCAATTACTGTCATATATATGTTATAAAACGGATCATGCTTAGTGACAGGCAGAGCCGTGTAAATAATCTGCAACAGTGCACACAGAGTAGAAGACAAAAACACAATTTATATGTTCTATAATGTACAAGTTTTACTTGACAGCACTTTCCCCATATGATTCCCAATTCTACATCCATATGAATTTTAAACAAACATAATTTATACTAATAGTTCCTTCCAGACATGGAGTTTCAGAGCAACAAGCAGGCTGCAGTAAAAACATGCTGCAAGGCAAACACACACAAGACACACATGCTAGTACCTGCAGTGGCCCTCAGCAACCTTTCTTTCATTCTCGGAAACTGGGATAAGTTTCACAGAACATAAAAAGATCATGAAACCGAAAGGAAACGTTCAAGTTTATGAGAAATGCTTTAAATTAGCAGGAAACAACATCAGCTTTGCAATAGCTGATAAGCATTTTGTTGAGCAATGCCAATCTGTGCTCAAAATCAACTAATTATCCAGGTTATCAGAAATGGGCTGGGGTTAGATTTCACTCCTTTTTTGCCTTCAAAACCGTACTAAGAGGTATAGCTACATCATATTTACTGACATCTTTGCTCAAAGGCACAGCGGTAGTTCTTGCTAAAGAACAGCGTATGATGCAGCGCTTTCTTATCTTATATCACCAAACCGGCTTCCACAGCTACAACCTGCAACCTGACAGTCATAAATCAAAGCAATCATTTTATTAACGTATATATTAATTGCTGTAATTTCAGATTAACTATACTGTCTCCATTCAAATGAATAACACATAACTACGTGACCCACTTAACACTTTACGTTCTACCCAGCTGCTGTGTATACATTGCACAGTGAACATGATCAGAGGCTGTCAGTACAGAACATCATGTCCTGTCCATCCTGTAGCTGTCAAAACCTAAGCGTCACATCGTCACCTCCACATTGGTACAGTGGAAGAGTCCTGCAGGAAAATAAATATGAGTAGAATTACAAAAAAAGATAATTAAACATTAAATATTACAGCAATTTTTTTTAAAAAAAGGCCATTTGTGGTCATCTCCATACTTCAGCTGACAGGAGCTGTTACGTACAGTTATGTCCATATTTTTCTGTCCATGGTATATATCACCACTCATTTTGTCTGCCTGATTCATGCATATCTGATGAAAAAAAAAAACAAGGACTGTCTTAATTGTCCTAAGCAATGATAAAGCACAGATACAACTACAGTTGTCCACTTTCTTTTCATTAAGAAAATTACTTTTTGGCCAAAAGAAAGCAGTTATCCAAGGTCATAACTTGTGGCACTAACTGGAAAACACATTGACTAACCTAAAAAGGATGCTATAATTAAAAACTACACTATAATTAGGAACCACAAATTAATAGGCTCAAAACCCAATACATGGGGCTTTTTCAACCCAACACAATTACACATATCCAACTATTCTTAGAAAAATCAAACGTCCACATAGCAGACTTCTGAGGGAGCAATATTAAAAAACAATTTGACTTCTGTCAGTTAAAACATCACACTGGTTGTCCTGATGGGATAACTATAGTCAATATTTAAAAAGTTAAGAGGTCATTACTGCTTTACAAACAGCTCACATCATGTTGTTCCCCCTTCACTCAACTCATAAAAAGCTGGAAAACTAAACAAACATTTAAAGCATAATTTAATACAATTCAATCAAATTGTATTTGTATAGCGCCAATTCATAACAAAAGTTATCTCAGGACACTTTTAAAATAGAGCAGGTCTAGACCGTACTCCTTATAAAATTATTTACAGAGACCCAGCAGTTCCCACTACGAGCAAGCACTTGGCGGCGGCGGCAAGGAAAAACTTCCTTTTAAGAGGCAGAAACCTTGGACAGACTCTGGTTCTAGGTGGGTGGTCGTCTGCGTCGACCATAACATAACGTCTTCTACTTTTTCTGAGATGTCTACTCTGAGAGTATTAGCAACCTTATAAATCAATCTCATTCTCAGTCTAAATATATACAATGAAAAAAAAGCTTTCCTATCAGTCCATCATTCTATTTTAGAGTCTCCCTTGATCACATGTGCTCTCAGAGACTTTTCATGTATGCTAAATAACCGATTTTGTCTGACTTTCACACTGACTGCAAACTCAAGTATTTCATAAGCAAAGCCAATGTGTTTTCAAAGTGTTATTTTCCTCGCCCTCCCTTCAGCTCCAACCTGTTTGATCCAGATCACTGCAGTGCTTTAATTTCAACCCTCGCTGCACTTCGGGTTATCGAGGCTACTGGCAGAGAGAGAGAGAGAGAGAGAGAGAGAGAGAGAGAGAGAGAGAGAGAGAGAGAGAAAGAGAGAGACAGACAGAGAGAGAAGTTCAGTGCATGTGTGTCACCCAGTGTGGAATGGATAAGGTGGTGATGAGGGGTGTTGCCTGTAAAGCAGACTGCTGTGTCACACGACTACACAGTCAGCATTGCTCCCTGTTTAGACAGCTCATCCCACCCCCCATCCACCTCCTCCTCCTCCCACCTGCAGATATCAGCTGGAGCTGCTGAGTCAGGGTTGAATCTCTCTGAACTTCCTAAACTCACAGCCCCAGATGACAAGGCTGATCTGCTGTAAAGGTATTAGCCACCAATAAATCACTGTCTCTACATTAATTATGATATATAGATATATAATAATAAACAAAAAACATCCACAGCTGAGAGGAGAGGAAGCATCTACCCGCCTTTGCACTGCAGCTTACATGACAGTTTGATTTGAAATCTGTTGGATTGTTTTATATACTTGAAGTTAGTTTACCTCTATTGAATGCACATTGGCTGATATCAAACACTGCCTTGGTGTCTATTCTGGCTCTCCAAGACAAATACAGTGATGCAGGGAGGGTGGTAGGGACTAACTGTGATCCTCTTAAGGAGAAAAGGCAATAGAAAATGTCTATGAACCCAAACAAAAATTGGTATACAAAACACCTTTATGCTGAGTATGTATATCTGAGTAAGTGTTGTTTGTACCTGAAATACACATATGAAGTTCATTACTTTACACTTATAACAGTCTCAGGATTGTTTTCTATATGTAGCAGCACTCTACAGCACTGAATGCCTGAAAGGCCCTGGCACAAATATTGTAAGTTTTTAATTTTGGCAATAAGAGGCTCTAGGTTTTTAAATATTTTACCAGGATATTGATTACCATACTATATCAAAGGGACTATATGAACTTTTATTTTGAAATTAAATACTGCAGATAAGATTATGTGGTGTATATGGCCTCATATAATCATGTTTCTCTATTATTTTGTGGCATGTTTTAAAGAAAATGGTCACCACAGATGCTGTATTTGATTAATAACTAATAATAAATCAACATTGTCTGGATTACATTACAATTAGCATTGCTTAAAGGTGCCTTCTTCCTACATGTCTAAGCTCGAATTTCTTGCAAAATTTACATAGAAATCAAAACATTCTGTCACTTTTTAATATGTCTGGAAATGATCACAAAGTATAACCTGAAGACTAATGCTAATTTTTTTTTTATATTCTTGGGTTTACCTTTATTTGATAGAACAAGTGAGGATTGACAGAAAATGGGGGAGAGAGACAGAGGGGACTTCAGGTTGGATATGTATGTATGGTAGGCCGCAGCGGCAAGGACTCATTTCTTATCCTTAAAAGTCAGGACTCATGATCTCAGTATTTATAATAGCCTGGCTACAGCCCTGATACATCTACACAATTTATTTAGGTGTATATTACACTTGTTTTCTGATTACAGGACAATCATAATGTCTATTTTGCACAGTTAGTGTATTTTGGTTTGTGGGACTCAAGTCTCCATCCACAGATAACAACCTATAAATACTATTTGCCATTAAACCGCTAACAGTTACACTCACTTTTAATGACACCCTGTCATGACCTCTAAGCTGGAGTCGGTTGTATTTTTGATTTGGTTGTTGCCCTCGGATAACAGAGCAGCTCCAAGTATAACATTAAAGATCATACAGTATATATGAAATTCACTTGCCTGGATTAAGCACTAGAGTATCAGCATCTCAAACCAAAACAACAGAAATAATATAACCAAAACCATTTTGTTAGTCTTTCCAAAATCCACAATGCTGGTTTGGTTGAAATAAACCCTTAATTCACCAATTCCCCGTTGTATGTGAAAATAATTGTGAAAAGGGCTGCAATGTAAGCTAACATTGATCCTTGTGCCTGTCAAAGTATGTCCACTAAAAGTGCTTGGTTTACCACTGACAGGCTCAAATTGTTATTCTAAGTGTCTTAAACCATTATGAGAAGGATCCCTGTAGAGATAAGCCTTTTGTTTATGGCTATCATACTCCACAGATCACTATTTTTACACCATCATTTTAATCAAAGACAAAAAACAAAAACAAGTCATAATTTTTCCAGTGTTCTAACAATCACAAACTCTGCTTCTGTTTGGGAACATCAAGTACAGTAGATTTTCCTATCAGTTTTGGATCTCTTAATCAACCCCTTATGTCTCCTTCCAAACAGAAGCTCATCATCTCCAAGTCTTTCTACATGGGGCTCCAGAATAAGAATAAAATTAGCTGACACAGAAAACAGAAAACGCTTGGTCACAAGGTCATAAAGATAGCTGTGCCTTGTAGTGTTATTATGGACGATCAGTCGCAGGCTGCTAGCCAAAGCAGACCTGATAAGGCCAGGATGGACGACAGATGACTGACCTGAAAAAACCTGCAGACATTTTTTCATGTTTATTTAGCTCTGATGGGTTTTCACGCTCCTCTCAGCTCCACTATTAGACCTCTAACCACAAGAGAGGAAGTGACTTTTATTAACATGATATTATTTATTATTGATAATAAAATAAAAGTCTTCCCATCCCAAGAAGCAAGCATACTACTTTTTCTCAATGGAGTCTAGGTAGTAGTAAAAATCTGGAGATGATCTGATGTCTTACCAAGTGAAGTCCTGCGGGGGCTTACAGTGCCTGGAGCTGAATCACAATCTGAGGCTGCTTAGATAAACATTGGAGGTGGGGCACATCAAAATCACTGAAATGACAGAGAAGAGCGCAGAAAAGACCAATTTTAATGTCAGATAGCAACAAGGTGAATGAACACACACAAACACACACAAAGCAAGTTTCTTATCCAAGGAATAGCAATCACCACCACCATCAATTACAGATGAATATTCAGATCAAAACATTATTAAACGTTATTAAAAGCTACTGAGTGATGACAGTGATTGTGTGTCAGGGCACATTTTCCTCGACTGTAAGAGGAAGTTTTGGATGTTGGGCTATGAGGGTCTCCCTGTGGAGAAAAAACACTGAAGGGTGGCCACAGGTTGACATCTGCTGTCAGCAAGTAGGTGAGCATCTACAGCTTCAAACACATGACTATAGCTCCCTCTAGTGGATATAATTAGTAGAAACTTAAAAATACATACATTGATGTCTCACTTTGGCAGTAAGACCCAAGCATGGTGAGACCTTTGTTGCACTGGTCAAAACAAACAAACATTCAATACACATGTGCAATAGTGTTTGATGTTTTGACATCATTTAAGCAACTGCATGTTTTCTAACTGCTGGAAAAGTAAAGATTATGTCAGGGAGTTTCACTGGGGATTGTTTTGGGATTGAGGGGTTAATATCTGCAGTGGAAAAACAAAGTAGAGACAAGTACCTGGTACCAAAAGTGAGAGGAATAGAGTCGAGCCGTACCATGATGTGAAAACACGGCATAAGGGTGGAGGCAAGTCTATAAGGTCAATAGTCTATAGCAGGTGGGCACCGTCTCAATAACTGGCATTTAGCTGAGTTACGACACGGAGAAAGCTCAGCACTGGTAGCTAAAAAAGTGCCTTTAAATAATTTGATTAGCTGAGCCTACTGGCCAATATGGGTACACAACTCACAGTAAATAATAACCATCAAGTATTCAGTCAAGCCATAGTATAAATAGTACTTTATATTTTAAAGTGTGTCAGAGCCTGTAGACTTAATTTTACATTGTATAGACAAAGTTGATTTATAATATTGAGAGGACTGGAGTAATTATTTTTTTAAAATCATTTTTACATTTATATTTTTTACAATGTTAATATTTTATATAAAATATTCTATACAAACAAATCTGATTTCTTTATACCTCATTCTGTTCTGTACAGATCTACTGATTCTTGGAGCAAGAGCGGAGCAAACCACTTCTAAAGGAGGGGAGGATTGCAGTGGGAGCACTGGGATGTCCTGTGTGGCAGAGGCCAACAGTTTACATGATTTACAGGTCAGGTAGGAGGGCCTCTTAGCAGATTTTTGCTTTGGGCCCCAGGGAGGTCCGGACCGGCTCTGCTAACATCCCCGAACCACCACCCCTCATTACATGCACCCACGCAGTCAACACAACCCTCCAGAACAAGTTATATTCAGTAATCACCACCTACTGCTGCTGCACCCATCAAGCATGAACCCAACCATCACCCAACAGACAACAGACATAGTAGAAAACAGGAAAAGCTCATTGCATTACATTAATAACATTAATGGTGGCTCAGTTGCATTTAGGTGTGCCAGTCAGAGAGTCATCGTGCACAATACCAGAACCAGGAGTAATTCAGCCATGCCCATAATCAATATATACATAGAGCAATGTTATTTTCCTGCTATCATATTTTCAAAAAAGTCTGCAAAGAAAAATTCGGCTGAGGCCTCTTCATGGCAATTTGTCTGTCTAAGTTTCATTTGCCGTCCTTCCTCTGTCCGACTGTTTAGGTTTCACTTTCTTTTCCCCAGAAAGGGCATCGCCTCTTGTTTTTATTCCGCCTCTTGTTTTTATTCCGCCTCTGTTCTTCAGCTGGTGTTCCTCGACCCGTCTATATTCAACAGTTCTTATGGAGGAAAGAAACAAATATACATTCGGGTAAGTTTTTCCTCGAAGCGTAAAGTTACGCAGGTAAAGTTCCGTCTGATAGGCTGGCACTTCAGGTGAAGGTTAATTGACTAAACCTGTAGTAACGTTGTGGACAGACTCTCCAGCAGCAGCGGCGGCTTTTCCTTTGGTAATGTTTCAACCCGTCCATTTGGTGGATCTGTTGCCCAACCTGCTACCAGCACAACAGCGGGAACCATAGATGATCTCGGGACAGTTACAACCGTCACTTCAGCAGAGACCAAATCTTTGTTTGCACTCCCAGGTAAGCAACTAAACAGTTTCACACCAAGAAAACTGTCCAGTACTCTTTCTGATTATGTACTACAAAAAGATTGGAGGCATTGCCTTGCTATTATAGTTTTTCTCTGTTGTGTGGAGGCTGTGTTCCAGTTTCCTTCTAGTTAATGCATACAAAACCCTTCATGCACTTAACAAAATCATATAATATTGTCTAAAAAGAAAAAGAAAAATTCCTCATTTGAGACAGAAAAAATGAAAAATTTTCATCTAAATGTATCAAATTGACAAATAATATTATTGGGAGCTCTCCTGAACTGCTACTACTAAGTATGATAAAACTGAATGTAAATATACTGTAAATTAACTTTATTTTCATTAAGAACAAGCTTAAATATTGTGAGCAGAAGAGTCTCTAGTGTCTGTATTTAGTCTCTACTAGGGCTGCCCCCTTAGAGTCGAATTAACTGTCACTCGCTGAGAAGAGTCTTAGTCGACCTACTTTTCATTAGTCGGATAGTTGCAGAAAAACAAAAACAACTTTAAACTTTGTGTGGAAGCTGTGTCTTGTCACCATGAAGGAAGTATAAGGGGATAGTTGTAACACAGACCTTTTCTCTTGTAACACAGGGAGGGACTTATCGGGAGTGTTCAGCAACAGGAAGAAGACGAGTAAAAGTGGTACTGTTGAACAGTGGTTTTGGCAGATTAGCATGCACTGTACTCTAAATGTGACATCATGTCAACTAGCTCAGATGGAGAATGAAATGGAGCAGATGGTATCTATGTTTACACAGATGAAAAGGGCTTAGAGAGAAAGAGATGGGAAAACGGGGGCGAGAAGTTGGTCCGATCATAGTGAGTTTGGCAGGGGTAGAAAAACCAAAACATCAAGAAGAGGTCAGTTGGACAGGCAGACTCAAATGGGTCAAACACAAGAAAACGAGTGTAAAGTAATAAGAGTTTAATCACATTTGGCACTATCACTGGATTAAATTTACCAGAGCAATTGAGGAAGAGATCAGCAGGATCAAATACTCTTAGAACAACAAACAAGTGCTGATACAATAAACAAACGACAGCAGGAAAATATACTGGAAATGTCATCACTTAAAGGGGAAAATATGAAAGCTCATATTCCTGGAGCAATGGCAAAACTGAGAATTATTTTTGGAGTCCCACTGAGTATGTCTATGGAAGATGATAAAAAAGAGATTCAAGGAGACAAAGTAATTGATGCCACAGGGATTAAGAGTAGACGGGATGGTTTACTGAAGGAAACCATATCAGTAATAATTCAGTTTGAGAAAACCCTTCCTAAATCAGTGCAAATGGGCTACATGAACAGCAGCATAAGGGAGTACATTCCAATATGCTTGCCAAAGAATGGGGCACACAGCAATGTAAAGGAAAGCTAAGGTGTGCAAGATATGGAGGTAAAAGAGGAAAAGATGCCCTTGTTAAATGCTGAGATTTCAGAGGAGAGCACAGTGCTGCACATGGAGGCTGTGCAGTACAGAGAGAATCAAGTCCATATAGTGAAAATAGTCAGTCTAAAGCTCGTGGTGTAAACAAACCACCTCCGGTACTTCAAGCTTGCAGTCCAGGTATAGTCAGCTGATAGGACCGATCACTACCTAGGTTCAGCTTTTTCCATTATCATTTAATAGGCGACTATTAAATTCTAAAATTAAAATAATTAAAATAATATATTAAATATGTGACAAAAATATACACAAATCTTTAGTCAGGGGCAGCCCTAGTGTCTACACTTGTGTTAAATGGTGTGCAAACTTTGTGTGAAAAGATGAGTAAATATAATTTTAAGTTGTAAGGATTGTATTGTAGTGTAACAAAGAAGAAAAACTTTACGCCCGTGGTATAATTCCCCCAAAATATGAAGCCATTGGTTGCCTTCATTTTTAGGGCCCGAGCAGCAACCCCTGTTGCCGTGGCAATGCTGCGAATGGCGATGTTTAGATTTAGCCATTTATCACATTTTTAGGGGGCTAAATATGCTCAAAAACTCATAAAATTCAGCACGTTTGTCACCAGTTACAAACATTTACTTTTCTTATTGTTCTTGTGCATAGAGTCAAAATGGCTCAAAATCGCCCCCTACAGAATTTTAGAAAAGCAGCCCAGCCATCCCATTTCACTGGCATATATGAAAATCAGTAGCCATGTGTATCATGTCTACATGTACAAAAAAGCCTCTTGGAGCTATATCCTAAACCCAACAGGAAGCCGGCCATTTTTAATTAAAAAAGGACCAATTTATTGCTGCTTGCAGCTTTAATTTGGATGATGCTTTCTGACATAATTGAACCAGCCTGTCTCATAGCTCTGGTCTGAGAGACTTGCAGAATCTTTTTGTGCAAGTATACTCCATTGTAACTCCTGGAAATATCTAGATGTTGCATCACATTGTGCATAGAATTAGAAAATGAATATGCACAATGAATAACAAATGTAAGGTCCACGCTTTATTTTGATGAATTTCTCTTTTCAGAAGAGGTGAAACATAGCAAACACTGGATATTTCATTAACCCTAATTTCTCTCTTCAGCAGCTCGACCTGAGTTGAAATCTCAATGGAGAGATGTGAAGTGGACAGAAGAGTGAGTAGAGCTGTTGACTTTATTGACATTCAATAAAGTCAAACTGTTTACATTATTTTATTGTACTGTTTGTATGCTTTTATTCTACTTATTAAAATTATCCTGAACACAATTTAGGAAGTGATTGGTTGGATCTAATATGCTACATACAAAGTGCTAATACTAACAGCTAGCAAACAACAGCAGTAAAAGTTACTGGAAATGTCGTCACTCAAGGGGGGAAATATGAAAGCTCATATTCCCGGAGCAATGGCAAAATTGAGAGTTATTTTATGAGTGAGTATGTCTATGGAAGATGTTAAAAAAGAGATTCAAGGAGGCATCGTAATTAATGCCACAGGGATTAAGAGTAGACGGGATGGTTCACTGAAGGAAACCATATCAGTAATAATTCAGTTTGAGATAACCCTCCCTAAACCATCCCTTTATTTATTTCCTTATGCTTGCCAAAGGATGGGGCACACAGCAAAGCAGTAAGAAGGAAAGCTAAGGTGTGCAAAATACGGAGGTTTATTATACTGCTTGTATGCTTTTACTCTACTAAAATTATTCTGAACAGCAAGTATCTTAAATTCTGATCTAGACAAAAGACGAGCCTGATGAAGACCGTCAGCTCTTACAAACCGAGCTGTGAAGAGGTGACTCAGGCTCGAATTCTCCTCCTGGGCCCGGTCAGTTCTGGAAAGTCCAGCTTCATCAGTTCAGTCCAGTCTGTGTTTAGTGGAAGAGTCACTAACCGAGCCATGGTGGGCTCCTCCTCGACCAGCTTCACCAAGAAGGTACATGTAACCAAGAAATATCACTAAAACTATTGACTTTTTTTAGGGGATTATAATTAAAAATATGGAGATACTGAAAAACCTCTACTCAGCAGGTATGCTGTTCCCATGTTTTGTAAATCCATTTCATTAACTTTCTTTTTGTTTGTGTCAGCTGCAGTCATTCAAAATCCGTGATCAGAAGGGAGAGGATCCAAATGGACTGGTGCTGTGTGATGTGATGGGCCTGGGGGATGGAGAGATGACTGGACTGACCCTCCATGACATCCTGTCTGTCATTAAAGGTCACGTACCTGAGGGACACAAGGTAAACATGATCAATATTGTAGTATTGTAGGTCTAACAACACTAGCAACATAGCTCTAAAGCAGTGGTTCCCAGCCTGGGGGTCAAAGCCAAGCTTCACAGGGGTTGCGACACCTTTTTGATTTTAAAATATACACAGTAGGCCTATATCTCATTGTTCTGCATTAAAAAAGTTAAACAATATACAACCAAAGAGCTAATAGATGAAGCATCAGGGAGAAGAAAACACTGAATTTGTCAAAAAAGAAGCCCTTTAAGTATGTATATTGTTAAAAAATAAAAACATAACGCAGAGAACTAAAATTCATCCAAATTGCTACTTCAAATTGCCCCTTTAATTAATAGTGACAACAGGGGGGGGAGAGAGGAGCCACAGAGTCGAACCCATGGCCGCTGCAGCAAGGACTTAGCAAGCCTACGATGTGAGCTATCAGGGCGCCCCAAAATTTGTGGTTTTTAGTGACATTTCTCGACCAGTATTAGATGGATTGCCATGAAATGAACATTAGTGATCCTTTGACTTGACATCGAGCACCACGATAAGGTCAAGTTAAAAATATTTCCAATACAGTACTTTGGTTTGTGACTAAATACCTGCAAAACTAATGACATTCCCATCAGCCTCAGCTGTAGTTTGTGATTAGTATATGCATTTTGGCATGTAAAGTTTTTGAAAATTGAATCTCTTAAATTTCTCTCCCAGTTTAGTCCAGATCAGCCAGTGAGGTCTGAGACTGTGGGCTATGTGAAGAGGCCAAGCCTCAAAGACAAGATCCACTGTGTGGCCTTTGTGTTGAACGCCTCT